GTTTCACCTACTATCTGTTAGTGTTTTTTGTTTTTTGTTTTACCATGGAGATAGGTGGGTGTGGGGGAAATTTCAAGGGCTTCTCACTTGGCCTTTGCCACCATAACTCTCACTTCACAGGTCGAAGAACCATTATGAGGAACTCATCATCTTCTGAGTTTATTTACTCAGGAGCCAGGGAAATTACCACAGATTGGGTTCATGGACTTGTTGGATCCACTGGGAGATGCCCTTAGATCAGGATTTTATTTATTAATGTGTTCTCCTTCATGAAGCATTTTGGGTTCTGTGGTATCTCTGTCAGGACAGAACTTGCATCTGATAGTCTTCAAAAGACATAAGAATTCCCCTTTCCCCCACTGTGTAGTTAGAGGAATATTTATTTCATATATTTGTGGCAACACCGCAGGGTGCTTCCTGAAAAGTACCTGGTTTTTCCTTCAGCTGGCAATGAGACAATGATTGATCTAACTCAGGATTTGAAAAATGGACAACAGATGCTCATTGCAGAAATTAGCATCAGTCTGCTGATCACTGGCTTTCAATCTTTCTTGGTTGTATAAGGCAATAAAGGCCCTGATTGCCGACCCTCCTATATCATCCCTAGGAGAACCAAAGTCTATTAGATATGGCCTCAGATCAACTTAGGTCAGGGCCCAGAGTTTATCATTCTAGTCTCATTGCCCACTACAGTAATTGTACCTACCTAGTTTCTAATAGTTAAGGGCTGCCACTTTTTGTTAGTACTTTGGAATCTTATCACCCTCACTGACCACCAGTTCTGTAGCACCTTGTCTTGTCATTGACCCTGGCCTACAGAGTCAGCCACCACTGAGGTCCCAATGATGACTGACTGACTTACGCATTTTTTACTGCTTGAGTGACTCTGCAGTACACTCTAGGACCTGCAGAGAAACAGGGTCAGCGGTGGTTTCTTTGGCCTTTTGTAAGAAATCCTTCCTTGTTCCCTGAATATTCTAACTCCCAAATTCATTTCTTTGCCACGGTAGTTCTAGCATCTCTTCCTGAATTATTGTAGTCTGCCAACATTTCCAAGGCTCAAAGATGCAGTCATTCCAGCAGCATGTTAGGATAAGCTCTGGGCATTTTTGCAATAATGTTACATCCTGAGCTCTCCCCAACCCCCAAAGCTTTTCCTTGTATAATCTCATACTATTCTGTTTCTCCTAAAGCAGTATCCTCAGGATCCATTCCTATATATCCCTGCCTCCTGATGGCATATAGTAGCCAGCTCCCAAAGCTCTCTTGATCAGTAATCCAGTTCTTCTCATACTAAGAACTGTACTGACCCTAATTATTGGTCTAGATGCAATGAAGAACAAGTAAGAACAGATCTTGAGGAAGATAAGCAAAATCTTTGGTGAAACATGACCTCCAGGCAGTGAGAGACTGCTTTCTTCTAGCAAAGGGTAAGAGGTGAGTTCTGCTAGGACAGGGTGTTCACGAGAATTTCAGGATTCAAATTTTCAAATGCATTCATTCAAATGTCCTCATCCTAAATCTCAGGATAGCATTTCTTCCCTGACTGAACCTCTGATTTTTACATAAGAAACATACCAGAGCTCTAAATCCAGTAATCTTTATAAATCTGCATATTTATGGCAAATCTTGGGTATTATTTTCAACATAGTCTATGGGATGAGATTTTCTTCATACATTGTTATAGAGGTCTTAGAACTTTCATACCATACCTGAGTTATTTGTGATGTGTTAAACTGAGTTTTAGTTTTGATGTTGCAGCACAACAGTTGTCACAAATCCACTGGCTACAATTGAGTCCTAGTGGCCTTCTGACAAATCCAGTCCTAGAATCTCATATCCTTTGAAGCTTCCTTTTAAAGCACACTTCTGGTACCAACTGTCCCTGACCCCGAGGCCCTGAGGTAAGGATTTAAGTGTGAGCAGTTTATTTGGGATACAATCCTAAGATGTGAGTGCATGGTAATGGAGTGGGAAACTGAGACAGGAAGGGGTTAAAAACAATTCAAGCAGACATTAATGGGTGAATGACCATGTGAGCAGCCAGGAAACAATTGTACCATGGCCTGTCTGAAAGGCCCTGTGAGACACCTTACAGTTGCCCCATGAGGATTGGGGAAGCTGTGAGACATATTCACAAAATATCTCTCATTGGTTAATAGTTGCTTCCAGATGTATTAACTTTCTCTTGTTCCCAGCTTGCTCTGTGAATGAGCCAAGCACACTCCTGTAAAGTAGAAAAGCATTAGTATATATAGGAATTCTCACCAGTACAACAGAAGATGCATTTGCAATTAATCCTTGCCTTAGTGTCCATTTTCTAGGGAACCTGGATACAGTAGATGCTGATAGCCCACCCTACATCCCCTTGTCCCACCTGAGTTCACTGGCAACTCCAGTAGACAATGTCCATTCTCTGACAGTTTCCTACTTTAAGTGTTGTATCTCCCTTCTTTTCCTGACAGCTTTCTCCTGCACCATGGAGGAAAATTCTGAGGTGTGTTTCACATGATTTCTCATTGAATCTACAGGGGAGAGTTCCTGTAGCCCACAGTGGAAACTTGCTCATTAATATACTCTTCTTATGTGTTTCCAAATAAACTAGCCCCACCTAAATCCTAGTCTTAGCATCTTCTTTTTGGGGAACCCCAAAAAATATAGTTTGTAATAGGAGAACAATTCTACAAAATTATAAGAAATATAAAAATATAAAACCCAGTAAATACAAAAGAATATTAGATTGATAAATTTGACTATAATTGAATTTAACTTGTTTTCTTTTTACAAAGAAAAAAAATTCAAAAGACAGTCAGTAAAGTGGAACAGCTACTTTGGTCTCCAGATGGATCTATATGTTTAAAACACATGGATCTTTCTCCAAGTTTGTATTCTTGGCTCATACTTTCCTGTTTCTATGGCTCCACTAGATGTCTTTTTCTTCTCGCTATCCCTGGTTGGTACATTGTTAGACTTTCTCCTCATCTATTCCTAGAGTGCATCAGGGATGATCACAAAGTGACAGAAGCACACAAGTACAATATATAACATTTCACAAGAAAATGCCTTTCTAAAGGTATGATGTTTAGCCTCTATTGAGAGAAAAATTAGAGTTTTCCAGGGCATGAATGGGGGGAGGGTGGAAGAGGTGGGGGAGGGTGGTAAGCAGCATTTTGGGAATGAGAATTACACATACAGATGTACAGACATGATACAGCCAAGTATATTCAAAACTCAGATAACAAGCAGAGGATGTAAAGTATGTAAAACATAATGGATAATGACATCAAAAAGGTTGTTTGACTCAGTTTACAGAGTGTCATTTAGAAGTTATCTGGACCATATATAGAGGTATCTGATCAGATATATATTTTTAAGAGAAAGGATTTCCAAAAACACTGAGAATAGACTGAGTAGACGGCAAATTGGGGACAAAGAGACTGACATAGAATAAGAATCAAAGGGAGCATTATAAATACACACTATTTATAGTGAAGGAGGGAGGGGCGGGCAGGGAAAGGGAAGGGAAGGTATCTGATCAGATATATATTTTTAAGAGAAAGGATTTCCAAAAACACTGAGAATAGACTGAGTAGACGGCAAATTGGGGACAAGGAGACTGGCATAGAATAAGAATCAAAGGGAGCATTATAAATACACACTATTTATAGTGAAGGAGGGAGTGGCGGGCAGGGAAAGGGAAGGAAAGGGGAAAGTCAAGGAGCATATAGCAAGAACTCATGGACAAAACCAAAGGGGAAGAGCTGAGGGAGGGAATGAGGGAGGGGGCAAGGGAAAGTGGTGGGGGGGGAGGCAGAGACAAATGTATTTAAAAATAAAGAAAGAAAGAAAAAAAAGAACTGAAAAAAATAAATAAATACACACTATTTTAAATACTCAATATCCAGTTTTAAGTAGGAGCTTCAGTGGTTAAAAACAGGATGTTTATTTTTATTTTCCTAATTTCATACAATTAATAATCCATTTATATTAATTATTTTTCAGATATTTATTATTTATTATGCACTGTTCTATGCATTGGGATAAAACAGTGTGCAAAAGAGATAAAAACAAACCTGATCTCACAGAAAGTATATTCTGGTATTCAAAGAAAATACTCCAAGAGGATACTCAAACCACCAAATTAAAACAAAAAATTAGAGTAGATAAACTTGGCTAGAAAATGCAGAAGGGACAAAGCCAGGAATTTTTATTAAACAAACAACAACTTGTTTATACTTTAACAAGAATTTCTCACTTTGGGTTACCAAATAAACCCAAAGAGTTTGTGTGGGACAAACAACATTATCATCCTCCTTTTCAGATTTTGGAGGACAGTGTTAGAAAAATTAAGTAATTTCCCCAACTTTTTCCATCTCTTTTGATAGCAGTACGCATTCTCACTACGGGGACCCCCATCCTGCATTTATCCATCTTCTGGGCACTGATGGGATGTCCCATTGCATCACTCTGGACATTCATTGACCTGATGTCTACAGAGTTTGTTAATGGCACGAACTTACAGTCTTGACTTCGTCTATGCTTATCACTGAGAAAATATTTCCATGACTTCAAATTCCAGTCCCAATCAAAATCACATAAACACTCAGCTGCTGATAAATGGTGTGCTATGTGGATAACAAGAAATATATCCTTTGCACCTTTGAGAAATTAGGGAACAAATGGAGAGGCAAGACTACCCATGTGTCTTTAGATGTCTGTCCCCTGGCCTTCCTGTGAATCATATGTGCACTCAAGAAACACAAAGAGGACCAACTCAGGAGGGAAACTGGAGCTTTATTTGCTGTTTATACAGTGAACAGTAGCTAGGACAATGTTTGAAATTACCTTTTCCTGATGGTAATGTTTCTAATACTGATAAAAAGTAAAGTCTTTTCATTTTTCTGTAAACTGTCAGAAATGCGCTCAGTTTCAGGCATGTAACATTTCTACCTCCAATAACTAAATCGTGATACATAGGATATTAAGTTAAAGGCATTTTCTTAATCTGAAGTGGGAGCCTTGGTCTTCTTAGGTCCACAGTGTTTTTGAAGGTACTTAAATAGAGTAGCCAATAGTAGAAGCAAAACAGACAAACTAAGAATCATAACTAGTGGAAAGAAAACTCCTTTACTGACAGCTGCTGGGCCACTGTCAACACTACCTCCATAGCCTCTATACAGGCAATAGGGTGGAGACCACCCATAGCCACAATGGCAATGATGTTTATTATTGCAGATTCCCCTCATGTTGCAAGTCTCAGGCAGGCAGACTTGTGACAGGAGAGAGAGACTGACACACTTCTTGTGTATGCAAATCTTTCTTGAGCCACACATGGTGCCATCTTTCACTTCACCAATATCAGGTGTGTCCATCCCTGAATAACTTATACCCCAGCAGGTGACACCATTCATATGAGTGTGCTGCAAAGCAGAGTGATCTCTTAAATGGGGAATGTCCCCCACATTCTCACACTGAACTCTCCCACAAAAGATATCTGAGGTATTACACTGTAGGTAAGCTGTCCCATTTAGACCACAGTGGCCAAAACGGTTTCCCTGGGAGTTGATTTCTTCATAGCAATTCTGAGATGCACTCTTTGCACCTTCACCAAAAATCTCCCTGCACTGTTTGTCATGGTTATTACATCTCTTTTGATAGCAGTGGGCGTTGTCACTACAGGGAACCCCATCCTGCACATATCCATCTTCTGGGCACTGATGGGATGTCCCATTGCACCACTCTGGAAGGTCACATTCATTGACCTGATGTCTACAGACTTCCCCTGATGGCAGGAACTTGCAGTCTTTGCAACAAAGCCCAAAAGCACAAAGAGCACCAGTCCTCAGAGTGCAGTTCAACATACAACAGGGATCGTGTTCACACTGTTTTACAGATCCACAGTCACACTTCTCTTCTCCTTCAACCACATTGTTCCCACAGCGCTTCAGGATAAGAACTTCCCCTGGACTTGGAGGATTGTGCAGACATGATCCCTGGTTTAAAGTGGTTTTTGTAAAATCTGCATAACTACAGTTGGTGAATCTCTCTGCTGGCACTCTGATAGCATTCATAATGCAACCACTTTGCCCACACAAACAGAATTCTTCATCATGCAGCATGCCCAAAGTATGGCCTAACTCATGGGCCACTGTGAGGGCAAAAAGAGACCAGGGGTCTCCTTGGAAATTATTAACTCCACAGTCAATAGGAGGACGACATATTCCTGCAACATAGGCTATACCAAGTGTACTTATTAGTGAATTTTTAATGAAAATATGTGCAGCATCATACTGTAGCTGTGAAAGACTGATTTGCTTCCACTGAGCAAAATCTTCCAGAACCTGTTCTATGCTTATAATTGGGAAAACATTTTCATGACTCCAAATCTCAATCCCAGTCAAAATCACATAAGTACCCAACTGCTGGTAAATGGAGTCTACCATGTTGATAACAAGAAATACATCTTCCTGCACCTTTGAGAAGTTACTTTGAAAGTAAAGGAAGAAATTTTGATCTACCACTACAACCAACTCCAGAAACCATAAGTGGGCCCACCAGTTATCAGTATAAATTTGTTTCAGAGTTGTTTTTTCTGCCTTTTCAAATCCCAGTTGTTGGTGTGCTATTTCCTCCTTTGTTAAGCCACATCTAATAGACAGGGGTTGTGTCTCATTAATGTTTATCTTATAAATCAGGTGTTCAAATGTGGTAGAGTGCCTGATGGGCTCAATTTCATAAGCAAGGTCATTTATCCGTAGCATTCCTCGAAAGCCTCCAGAACAGGTACTGAGGGCAACCAGGGACTCAGGGACTCCCTGCACATAACCATGATAGTAGCAGTCATCAGGAACAAAAGGCTGATCCTCCTGGAGGGTATGCTGGCCTGAGTAGGTAAACACTGGTAGATGTTTGGAAACCAAGAGCTTCTTGACCCTCATGTGGACAATATGTTTCCAGCCCCCAAACTGAATGCTATAGGAAAGCCATCCTGGAGCCTTTGCACCGCTGCCCTTGCTGGTCAGCTTCATGGGGACCACCACTTCTGGGGAGCTGAAGGGCCTATTTTGGGAGAGGCCAGAAGGGGACAGAGGCACCCCAAGCCAGAGGAGCAGGAGAACAACTCTTATGGACACCCTGGCCTCAGCAGCCTCCATTATGAAGTCATCTGTCCAGAGAAAAAGAGTGTGAGACACTGTTGGTCTGGCTCATCCCTCTGAGCTGGTCATTGTGTAGAGCTGCCCTTTAAGGATCTGAGTCCTGGTAGAGTTGGCCATCAAAGCTTCAGTGCTGAAATTGAAAAGAAAAAGGGTGGGGAAGGTGATGGGATTGGGTAAGGAAAATGAGAGAGAGAAAGAATTGAGTGATGAAAGAGTGATTAATGAATCATGAAAATGCTTTGGATTTGCTTTCAATAAATGGAGTTGGGAAGTTAGGAGTTATGGGTAAGACAGTATTGGCCATGAGTTGATAATTGTTGAAGTTGGGTGATAGATACTTGGGTTTTCATGTAATCTGAGAAGACTTGCATAGGACATATGGAATGAAAATGCCTGACCCACTACCAATAACCTTCTGGACTCTGAATTCATTCCTAGTCAATATTTCCTTTACCTTGATTCAAATTGCTCTATATCATCTGTCTATGCAGCTTTGGCAATTTTATTTTTATTATTATTTTTTTTTTATGACAAAAGAACAGGGAGCAAGAGAGGGAGAGAGAACCAAACTCAATCCTAAACCTCTTCACAGAGCTCCCTATACTACTTACCTTAGTAAACTTGAGCTTCAACAGATTTTACTGTTTTCCCTAAAGCTCACCCTGGAGAAATCCAATTCTCAGAAGTCCTATGTACCTCATCGTCCAGAGTCTGGGTTCCTATTCTCCACAGCCCACAAAGTCATTTCCAAACCATTTATCCTGCTATATTTGACTACACTAATTTTTAACCTTTCTTTCTCACTCTTCCATTAACCACTCCCTATAATTCTTTTTTAGATTTTATTGATTATTCTATTACAGTTGTCTCAACTTTTCCCATTTTCGCCCATCCACCCAGCACCCTCCACTTCCTGAGGTCATCCCCACATCATTGTTCATGTCCATGAGTCATGTGTATATTCTTTGGCTACTCGATTTCCTATTCTGTTTTGATTATCCCCATGGCTATTCTGTAACTACCAATTTGTACTCCTTAATCCCCTTTCTACCATTTCCCCACAACACTCTCCCATCTGGCAACCATCAAAACCCTCTCCCATATCCATAATTTTGTCTCTGTTCTTCTTGTGTGCTTCATTTGTTTTTTAGATTCAATTGATAGATATGTATTTTTTTGCCATTTTATTCTTCCTGGTTTTGATCTTCTCTTTCTTAAATAAGTCCTTTTAACATTTCATATAGTAATGATTTGGTGATAATGAACTGCTTTAGTTTTTTCTTACCTGGGAAGCTTTTTATCTGCCCTTTGATTCTAAATGATAGATTTGCTGGGTAGAGCTATCTTGGCTTGTAGGTCCCTGCTTTTCATGACTTTGACTATTCCTTGCCATTCCCTTCCAGCCTGCAAAGTTTCGTTTCAGAAATCAGCTGACAGTCTTATGGGAACTCCCCTGCATGTAACTAACTGCTTTTCTCTAGCTGCTTTTAAGATTCTTCATCTTTAAGCTTTGGCTTTTTAATCATGATTTGTCTTGGAGTGGGCCTCTTTGCATCCATCTTGTTTGGGACTCTCTGTGCTTCCTGGAATTGCATGTTTATTTTCTTCACTAAATTAGGACAGTTTTCCTTCGTTTTTTTAAAAATAGATTTTCAATTTCTTGCTCTTTATCTTCTTCTTCTGGCACCCCTATGATGTGATTGTTGGAATGCTTGAAGTGGTCCCAGAGGCTCCTTACACTCTCCTTGTTTTCTTTAGAATTTTAAAATTGTTCTTTATTTCAATGAGTGTAGCCTTTATTTCTGACTGGATTTTTTTATACTGTTGGGCCCTCACTAACTTCCTTGAGCATCCTTATAACCAATGTTTTGACCTCTGCATCTGATAGATTGCTTATCTCCATTTTGTTTAGTTCTTTCTGGAGTTTTGATCTGTCCTTTCATTTGGGCCATTCTTCTTTGTCTCCTAATTTTTGCAGTCTCCCTGTATTAGTTTCTATGTACTACATAGAGCTGCTAAGACTCCTTGTCTTGATAGTAAGGCCTAATGTAGTAGATGTCCTGTAGGGTCCAGTGGCACAGCCTCCCCTATCACCCAAGCTGGATACTCAGGTTGTGCCCTCCATGTGGGCTGAGTACACACTCCTCTTGTCATTGAGCCTTGATTGTTGTTGTTTCGTCAATGGGAGGGATTTACCTAGACCAGTCAACTGAAAGGATGGACTGGCTGTGACCACTGACCACCAACCTCTGACCTCCGTGGAGGATCAGCTGTTCAGGCACAGGGTGGTGGTGCTCTGACATGGTCTGTAGCTGTTCACTGGGTGCATGGGCTTTGGGGTTCCCTGAATGGTGCTGGCCAAGGTCAGCCCTTACCTGTGTTCTGCCCGGGGCCACCCTGCATGAACTATATAGCAATCTGCAGATAGCTACTACTTCTGTTGGGCTTGGAAGTTACCACGCAAAGCCAAGCTGTGAACATATGCTGGCTGCTGCTAATGCCGGGCTTGGGGCTACTTAGCAAGAGGTACAGAGGATGGAAGCTCGCTGAGGCTGCCTGTTGCTTGTTTGAGAGAATTTAGGAAGTTCTGAAGAATGAGCCACAAATCATTCATATGGAAAAGCCACTGTTAACAGCTTGGGTGGGCCCATAAATTGGGTAGGGTGGAGCCTCAGGGGATCTCCAGGACAGGGCAAACAATGTTAGCCAGGTTGATGGAATCTCAGATATGGCCCCTGGCTGCTAGCTCTGTGACTGTGTCAGGGGAGGGTTCAAAAAAGAAACAATGGCCTCTGCCCACCTTTCCGTCTGGGAGAAAACTGTCCCCCAACCTTGCCTTGATGTCAGACTGCCAGTCACTTCAGTCCCTCCCCATCTGCCACTGGTGCCTTTAAAGCTGCTACCCCAGTGCTGGAGCTCAGTGGGAGTAAGTCTGAGTAAGTCCATGTGTGGGTTCTTTAAGAGGAACTGCTTGGGACTCCAGAATTTACTTCTAGTGACTCAGTCCCAACTGGTTTTTGCAGCCAGAAGATATGGGACCTTACCTTCCTGGCACTGGAACCCTGAGATGGGGAGTGTGGTTTGGGGCTGGGATTCCTTGCTCCTGAGATATCTCTCCTGAATTTTTATCCACCACGAGTGGGTGTGGGGCCAGCCCATTCAATGTCTCCACCTTTCCTACCAGTCTAGTTGGATATGGTTTAATTCCGTGGTTGTCAGACTTCATTCAATTTGATTTTTGATGGTTCCAAGTAATGGTTGTTCTTTAGTTTAGTTGTAATTTTGATGTGGTTGTGTGAGGTTAACTATGTTTACCTACACCTCCATCTAGACTGGAAGTCCAATTCCCTATCAGTCTTGTGTTACACTTCAAAGTCTTTGATACCTGACTGGTAGACTTTGTCTCCATCAAAAATTCTACCTTCAGCATAATAACAGCACACATAGACAATTCATCTGCAAATCAGAAGGGTTTTTCAACATTTTTAACCCCTCCAATTCAGCATCAATGTACTTCAGTTTACCCACCCACAGTCATAATCTATATCTTCTCACCACCAAACAAAGCAAAATCAAACTACTTCTTACATCTTAAGCAATTTGCCAATTTTCATCATTCTAGCTCTCCATTATTCTTGTTATACCTATTCCTCAAACTCAGAGAGAACCCAAATACTTTTGTCCTTCATTATCACCCATTTCTCTCAGTCTCATACCCTGTCTTTTGTTCCATTCCATTTGAGCCGATGTGACCAGTTCCATCACTTCAGCCCACTTTATGCCCAAACCCTTAACTCTCTGAAGCTCTGCAATAACACTAACTTGCAAAACAAAAAAAACTGGTTTAATTCTGCCATATACTTTTTCCACTTCTTTATCACACTTCCATGTACTGCAGGGGGCAGAATCTCAAAACAGTATGTTTGTGAAAATTTTAAAAAGGGAATGCATAATCAGAACTGGAAAGGTTTATCCTAGCTCCCCATTCTAAGGCATGAAGACAAGAAATCTGATATTTCAAATCCTCCTATGCCTTATTGCTCTTGTATTTGCTCTCCTGGATGTTACATTTACACACCCCTAATATTGAGTTCCTCATTTATGTATAGTGTCAGTAGTCAATACATTTTCGTTACCTTTCAATCACAGAGTTAAATAATTAACCGAGCAGACTTCATCTTTTCTAACATACAGTATTTAAGTTTATAATTTATCCTAGGTTTGCAATGTGGATGCTGGTAGATGGGGAGGATTTGTTTCAGTCTGCACAATATTCTTAACATTAACCTGCCTAGAGTGCTTGAATCCATGTGAACATATTCCATTGTTAATGAATAGGAACTTTATTCCAAGTGCAAGTGGCTCACAAGAGAAAAACAAAGTTCACGCACAAATTCAACTATGCACATATATAAAAATTTCCAAGGACAAAGATCTCTAAATTGGGTGATACTCTCTGTATCTCTCTTGATATGTTTGTTACTTATTATAGAGTGGCAGTTGTGGATGGAAAGTTGGAAGGGCTAATAAAAATATAGTGTTGTGAAGAAGGCTGAGAAGCTATGTAAACCATGTCATATTATTCTCCTTAGAACTCATCTTGAGAGCAGGCAATAATAGTAAAATGCTTCAAAGAATCTTTGAGTCATACTCTTTGCCCTCATTATATTATTATTAAGACCCCAGAGACTCAAACTCCTAAAGGAACATCAATCTACCATCAATAACGTAAAGTGGTACCATTAAAAATCCACATGCTCTAACATTATTGGAATCTGAAAGTAGACAACAGCTTTCCTCCATATGTTTTATCTACTCTTCCTTTCCCTCAGATGTTTCAAATTCCTCAAGATCTCTACCTACCCATATCTCCTTTTATTCTTTCATGTTCAAACGTACTGTTTTTCCACCTGTCTGTCTCTAATGTTGATCCATTAAGCAAATCATGAAATCAGTTTAATGGTCATGAGCTGCAGTTTTTACCTTAAAGAAACTGAATAAAAATATCAGAGGACATTTCTAAAAATTCCTTAGCAACTCTTACATATGTGGTGCCAAAATTTTGGGGGTATCTGTATGTGTGTAGCCACTGGGGCACAATATATAATGAATTTCTTACTCTGGAACATAGTAAAAAAATTGCATATATCTATAGGAAGGCCAAATTAAGGGACAAAATGGCTTCTAGGATTTTCACTAGTACAAACCAATCTGAATCCATGCCCATTTCTACTTCTTTTCTACCCGACTCCACGTCCCCGTCTCAGTGGAAAAGTGATCTCACCAGCCTCAGATAGCAGCCCCTCATCTTCTGTTCCAAGGTCATATCTCCTATGTGCTTGAGGACTGATCCTGTCAATTTTCCCTACTTTCAACTCTTTTCTTTCCTATTTTACTTGTTTTTAACTAGCAGTTAGGGTAAGCAATTCATTTTAGTTTGCCCTGGACTTCTTAGTTCCTGGTTTTTAAACTGCAAGTCCCATATCTGAACAAACCCTTCAGTCCTAGGTAAACTGAAGTGGTCAGTCATCCTACCCACAACACCTTATTCAACCCATGCTCAAGTCTCTTTTGTCTTTGAAAAGAAAACAAAACAAAATTAAACTTCGTATTCTCCAACATAACATTCTGGCTACCAACTTGTACATAGAGCCAAACTTGATGAGTGACTTACTAGCAAAAGAAACAGTAATTCTCATGGCTTTTTCTTTCTAGATGGTTAGCACTATACTTATCAATGAACAAAGATTGGTAGTTGAGACCTCACATAACAAAAGAAAACCTAAGCCCACCCCTTTCGTCTCTCGGGTGACTAGGTTCTAGATTTACCTGCTTAGCAACAAGGATCCTTCAGTTCTCCAGAAACAACAACTGGCTCTCAAAAATGCCTTGCTCTGGTTCCACCATTTCTACACAAATTTATGTTTTGACTTCAATATAATCGGAATGGGATAGCCTCCTTAACTCCATTCTATGTCTTCCTACTCTGTAGATGCATTTCTGTTTCATAATTTTGTTCATGCTAATGCATTGGCCTAGACTATTAATCACTTTTCACTTTGGACTAAATTATAACAACTTTCTAGGTCATGATCAGATTCTACATCCAGCATCAAATCTCTAAGTAATGAAGACAACATTGATATCTGTAATTCCCTTTTTAATTACCATATTCAATACATTTTAAACTGTACAATTTATAATTTTGCTATTTTGTTTTATATAGAAGTTTTTAAAATTGCATCTCCTATTAAACTATAATGTTTTTGAGAAAAACATGCTTCAAATGGTTTGGGAGATAATTTATGGTATAGCATTTGGCAAAATATATCATCTCTAAGATTTCAATTGTATAAATATTGCGTAGAATAAAAACCAATTCAATAAAATATTAACTCTAACTCTGGGTAGATTCTGTTTCAAAGGGGTATAAAAATCATGATCCTGGTTCAGTTCCTGGAACAAAGCCAATTTTCAGATACAGAATCCGTTGACTAAAGAGATCAGTGGGTTCCTCGGAGGAAGGACATACTAATATTATGACAAATATATAATGTAATGATTATCCCAGTTTTCCCCATAAGAAACCTATGGCCATTTTCTTGGGTGTCTATATGCCAGCGAGATAAATATTTAGAGTTGAGAGGATTGTTGGATACAGTGTCTGCATTGACATGGATACACGGAGCTCCAAAGCATCATCATGAACACTTATATGGTGGCAGCTTTTGGAAATCAGTCAATAAGTACAGTCCTGGCTGATTTAGAGATTACAGTGGGTTCAGTAGTATTCAGCCAACCCAGGAATGTAATTGGGATTGGCATCTTCCACAGTTAGAATAAATCATCACAGTGTCCTTGGTGTCATAATTACACTACAGGTAGAAGCTCTTAAATGTTCCTTTATTCATGGCTAGCACAGTAAATCGGAGACAATATTGTGTTCTAGGTGGAAAGGTGTCACCAACAAGGAATAAAAGATGTAGCAGTTGTTCTCTCTATCAGATCCCACTCAAATCATCAATCTGGGCCCTACAGAAAACATGCAGATCTTCAAAGAAGGACTGTAATGACATCAAGGTTTCCACAGTAGCATCTCATATTGTAGCTGCCGGGTCGGTTGTGCTGTCATTGCTAGTGCAAATTAACATGATCTCAGGTGCATTGAGTCATTATTTTAGTAAATGTGTTACTTTCTATTCTGATCAGAAAATAGCACCATAAAGAACTAGGACCCATGTGGCATGGATAAACATTCTTATTTATAGTTTTGTCCCCAGGGGCTATATCCCCGCATCCCCCCTTACCTCTGTCCTGTAACTCTAGGCTGTAACGAATCTGCCTTGAATATCTGGACCACTTAGAAACCACTTTTAAGGAACACACATGTCAGGCCTTCACATGGCACTGCCACCTTTTTTAGAACTTATGGCCTATAACCCAAATTATTAGTGCTTTTTAGAAACAGAAAATAGACTGGCAGACCACATCCATCTTCAGGTCGAAACACTTACTGCAACACTGTGGAGAGAGCACGGTAACCAAAGGCAAAAGCACACAACCTCAAACTTACGATACTACCAATTAAGCAGCGTGATGGAAACAAAAGGTCCCTCGCGAATGCCAAACAGATCAATAGCAGATATTGGACAAATGGAGATAACGAGAGCAAACAGGTTTCGGGGCCTGCAGTTACCATGCTTGGGCAAAAGCACTGCTCAAATCGAAACAAAATGGCTCCCCTCCTAGGAAGACACTCTGGTTTCAGCAACTGCCTTGGCGTCAGCAAGAAGTAACTGTTTAGCAAATGGCCATCCAACCTCGATTTTAGTAGATTGCGGTGCCAGGTGTAAAGGCAGTAACCCCTTTGGCCAGGGCAAAGAAACAGGGGCTCAGACCTGCCATTGATGAAGATCCTGATCACTCAACCAGATAAGCCACCTGGACAAGAAGTGCTGGCCATGAGAACTCTATCAAAGATGGACAAATGACAATGGCACCGCCTGGCGATCCTGTTGATCCTCCGCTGCTGCATCCTTCCTCCAACATTGGGTGGCCGCCCTCACCGAGACTCTGTATTTTCAGAAAGAGATGGGACCTGAGGCCTGAGCCATCTAAATAGCACGAATATAATGCACCATCTATTAGACTCTGTTCTGGCGCACTCTTTCTATTTCTCAAGTGATTGCTTCCCGTTTCCTTTTACCTAAATTTTTGTCTCTCTACATATGTCAGTCAGTCAGTTCCACCCGGCACTTTAAAGACAAGCTGTGCTTAGGCATTTCCTGCGATTCTGTACATGAGAAAGACACTATGATATTAACAACCAGAGGCCTTAAGAACTGCTGTATCAGCGATGAATCGCTCCTCATGTGATGGTTTTACGATAAAGATGCTGGGACAAAGTCATTATATTTGCAAAACCCCGCGTTTAGAACAACCCCACAGAATAATGAGAATGCTAGAGCCAGCATGTATAAAGTGCCAAAGCTGTTCCAGGCCCCTTTTAGGTGCTGTCTTCTCATCATCACAAAAGCCGGGAAGAATACATTTCAGCTCTCACTGTGATATGTAACCTGTAACCTTGAATCTCTTGAAGGCCTAAGATTTTGTCTAAGAGCACATACTTAGCGGGCGGTTAAACTACTGTTGACAGTCACATGCCTCGAACCAGAATTTTTGATCTTCGTATCGTACCTGTCGAGGTTTTGTTTTTAACACTGGCAAGGAAATGAACGAATGGCAAAAGTCGAAGACATAACCAGTTGGGGGAAAGCCCAATAAACTGTTAAGCCAGTGCATGCCAGTGCAAACAAGATTTGCTAAAGGCCCACCTGTAAGACGTTAGAATCCACATCTTACATGAGTACAGATCCTCTTGTTAGTGAACCTAACAGTTCCTACTCTCCTCCTTAGGACTGGTGAGAATATGAACCACCACACATACAGGGTTAAATGAATTTAAACACATAGACCCCCTTGAAATTGCCAAGTCATTTTATTTCAAGATGACAACCGTGGAATGGCTGTAGGATGATGTTATGATCAGAGGGACCATTGACCGTTTATTTCTTCCGGAAGTGCCAATGTGATTTTATCCATTTTGTACTTTCCAGTTAGTATTTACTTGGGATAAAGTGATTATGTTTCATCATCGTCTTCCTCTGTACCCACGTTTATAATGATGTGCACGTATGAAAAGACTCCAGCAAACAAGGAGAGCACTAATAAAATGGAACGCAGAAACAGGAGAACTAGTGCCTTGTTTACACTAGGTATTATTTTGCCCCGAACAGCTGCATGTCTGTCAGGTGGAGGGCCACTATTTATACTACCACCTATCCCTATCTTATCGCATGCTGGTGGTTTCCAGCCTTGCTGACAGTGACATGTTCCCATATTGTTGCACACTCCTCTGAAATTGCATTGACTGAGGTTACAGGTAAAATTAAATTTTTGGTAGTAAGTACAGTTCTGGGTACGACAGTATTTTCCTGGCCCGCATGTGGCACCATCCACTACAAGCCCGAATTCTGGCACTTCCGTTCCGTAGTGCGCATCAAATCCAAAGCATCTTTCCTCTTGAACGTCTTTTAGAATTATATCACGAAATGTAGTGTGTTCACCTCCACCAGGAATTTGTTCAACGTCACTACAGTGCAGCAATCCACACATTACATTTTCTGGTTCACATCTATAAGGTGCTCCTCCTCCTCGATGGACTGCCACCCCGCAGTTGCCAAATCGGTCACCTATTACATTCAATTTTTGATAGCATGCTGGTGACCCGTCTTTTGCTTGGGGGCCGAAAAGAGCTTGACACTGCATATCACGGTCAGTACAGTTTCCTACCCGACAAACGGCTAATGGTGAACACGGGGTTCCGTCCTGTATATAAGAGTCATCGGGACAGATATTCGTTCTCCCATCGCAGTATTCCGGGAGATCACAAATACCTCCCACCTGTCTGCAAACCCATCCAGGCTGAGCAAATTTACATTTGACGCAGCAAAGTCCTTCATTGCAATCACTGCCAATGGAGAGAGCACAATGGGTCTCACAACATTTATCTTTAACGCATTCCTTAAAGGAGCCACAGTCACACTCCTCTCTCTGATTTATGATCTTGTCACCACAACGAGGAGCTACATAAGGAAAATTATTGTACGGCACATTTACCACACTCAAACAAGGATCCCACGAGTAAGCCCGTCGATGCAGAACCTCATAAGAACAATTGCTCATCATATCTAGAAGACCGGGCACAGGCGCCATCACGCAGTTCTGTCTTCGAAAACAGTGACAGCCAGGCAAGTCATGTCGAAGGCCGAAGTTATGACCTAATGAGTGTGCTGAAACAGTGGCAGCTAAAAATATGTGATACTCTGCTACATACACATATGCTACTCCCCAGTTGGGGTTGCACAGTCCGTCATGGTTAGAATAATAGGTGGCATGACCGAGTTTATGTCCCGTAAGCAGCAATGAAGTATCATGAGAAAACAGCGAAAACCACCCATGGTATTTCCACAAACCAAAATTCGATACAGCATGTGACGCATCCTTCCACTGATTCAAATTGAAACTATCAGCAGTTTCCCATATACACAGCATACGTATCAGGACAGCTATCCGACTTTGTATATAAATGGAATGCAGTATATTGTTTATAATCACTACATTCTCTATTATACGTGTCCGATTCTTGTTTAGAAGAGTTAAAGAGCGGGAAATGGTGTAGTGAAGTTTTAACCGTTTCAAATGTGGCCACCACAAGTATACAGGCCCTGCTCTAGGAGTTTCAGCAGCCATCTCCTCTTCATATGCCAGGTTTGCATCGTCCGCTTCCACCTCACACCTCTCAGTCTCTGAGGATCGTTCTGACACAAGCAGAGAAATCATATGCTCAAATTTGGAAGAAGCCTCCAGTGGTTTGATTTCGTAAGTGAAGTCATCTACCTGCAGCATGCCACGCAGACCCCCGTAGCAAGTGTCCAGTGTGCCCATAGACCCAGGCACCCCTTCCAGGTAGCTGTAGTAGTAACAGTTTCGAGGGACAAAGGGGTGGTCCTCCTGCAGGGCACCTTGGTCGTTATCCGTGATAACAGGGAAGTTCCTGGGCAGCAAGTTCTTCTTGACCTTCATGTGAACCACATGTCTGCGGCCCCTGAAGTGAATCTTGTAGGAGAGCTGGTCTTGTACGCCAGCTCCGCTCACCTTGTGGGACACCTTCTTGGGGATCACGATTTCAGACGAAGTGAAGCGCCATGCTGGTAGGGCACGGGAGCAGCAGACCTGGGACAAGACTAACCAGAGCAGAGGCAGGCAGAGACCACCAGCCAGGAGAACCTGGGTCCAGGCAGGCCGCATGAGCGAGGGAGCTTGCGACCAAAGAAAGTGCAGCCAAGAGGGAGGAGGGCAAGACTAATGCCGAAACAGCAAGTTTTCCATCAGCGTGGTCAGGAGGAGGGCAGAGAGAGGCTGGTGGTTTGGCAAGCCCACAGAGGTGGAGGGAGGAGGGGGATGCTCTTACATAACAATGGTGCATTCAATTAGCTGAGCCTGTGCTCAGTGATGTGGGGGTCCTGGGAAGAAAGGCCCCTTGGAAAAGCTCTCTTGGAAAAGACACAGGGGAAGAATACGTGGATTTGGTGACAATTTTAAGACATTCAGTGGCTTTTTGCCTCTCGCCTAGAGGACACAATAGATCAACATGAGATTAAAAGAGAGAATGCCGAGGAGAGTGGAAGCTTCTCCTTATAAGGATTTTGAGGAGAGAATTAGATTCTCTCATACATCGTAAAAATTGAATGCAGTTGGGGCTGAATGAGGGAAAGAAAGTGTAAATGGGTGTCATGAGTAGACAAGGTAGGGTGTGTGTTAGTAACTTACGGTAGAGTGAAACTAACGCTTACCCTGTTTCCCGGTGATTCTAGTCCTAGGAAATTATCCTCAGAGACTTGCACGTGAATGTTCCAAGCAGCACCGGTACTTAACAGAGAGCCAGATAAACAAACGGGTATGTTTGTTCAGTGGAATAATCCTCAATAAGTCAGAAAACTTCTCTCTTTTTGGCAGCGGGGACCGTTCTACAATATATTTCATTTCTTTCCTTTAAATCGATTGTCGTTCAGTTACACTTGTCCCACCCTTTTCGCCATTGCTCACCCCTATCCTGACCCCACTCCCGCAGTCAGTCTTCCCCCACTGTCCGTGTGCATGAGTCCTCGATCCGTGTTCCTTTGCTTGCCCCTTTCCCTTCTTTCCCGTTATCCCCCTCTCCTCTGATCAGTGTCAGTTTATTCTTTATTTCCAGGTCTCCGGTTCGGTGGGGCTCCTTTGTTTTGTTGATTTGGTTCCACTTACAGGTGAGATCATACGGTATTTGTCTTTCACCCCCTGGGTTATTTCACTTAGCCTGATGCTCTCCAGTTCCATCCATGCTGTCACAAAGGGTAGGAGTTCCTTCTTTCTTTCTGCTGCATAGTATTCCACTGTGTATACGGACCACAGTTTTTCGATCCACTCATTTACCGATGGGCACCTAGGCTGTTTCGAGCACTTGGCTATTGTAAAAAGCGCTGCTATAAGCATCGGGGTGCCTAAGTTCTCTTGAATTGGCGATTCGGGATTCTTGGGGTATATTCTCAGAAGTCGCATCGTTGGGTCAAAAGGCAGACCCATTTTTGACTTTTTGAGGCATCCACATACTGCTCTCCACAGGGCTGTGACAGTCTGCATTCCCACCAACACTGTACTGGGGTTCCCTTTTCTCCACACCCTCTCCAGCACTCATTGTTTGTTGACTTACTAATGATGACCAGTCTGACTGGGGTGAAGTGGTACCTCATTGTGCTTTTCATTTGCATCTCTCTGATGGTTAATGACGCTGAGCATGTGACCCGTTCTTTCATTTGGGCCGTATTTCTTTGTCTTGGCGCACCTGTTACATTGTAAGAGGCAGAGACTTCGGTATTGGGTGGGCAACCCGCTTAGCTGCATTGGGGTACTGTATAGCGGGGCAGGGGTCAGAGAGGGAACAATGCTCATTGCCCGGCTCTCGCCCTGCTTTCTGTCACTTCCCTCGCTTCCACAAGCGGATTGTGCCCTTTCAGGTATTGATTCCCGGGTGCGTGGGCTTGTGGACATTCCAGGATTCTGTGGGCCTCTGTCACGGACTCTCCTGTGACACTGGGAGTTTCTCCCACCGCCGCAATGCCCACAGGTTTCTTACAGCCAGAGGTGGTGAGGCTTTAGCTTCCTGAGCTGGAACCCTGCGTTGTTCGGTCTGTCTCCCACCCCAGTTGTCCTCCTGGCTTATCCACACGTGAATGTAGGACGGCCTGCTCCACCAGCTGCTGTCTTGCCTTGTGCCCTCTCTGCCCCAGCTTCCCGTCTCGCCCCTCCTGCCCCTCCTACCAGCCTGGATGAATTTTCTTCTTTAAGTCCTTGGCTGTCAGACTTCCATACACTTTAGACTTTCTGGCAGTTCTGGCTGGTTTGGGTTTTTAAGGTGTGGAGTATTTGCACAGTTAGACGTTAAATTGGTTGTCATCCTCCTTTGGGTTGTGCGAGGAAGCGAGGCGTATCTACCTACGCCTCCATCTTGGCCAGAACTCAGGGTTGTATAGTTTTCTGAGTTTAGGTCTTTGCCTCCTTGGTTTACTTTATTCCTAAATATTTCATGTTTCTTGTTGTTATGGTAAATGGGATTTCCCCCCTAATTTCTGTTCCTGTTATTTCATTGTTGGTGAACTTCTGATATTTGAAAGAACGTGGATGGTTCCACAGACATGATGCTGCTGCTGATGATAGAAAGAAGCAGGACCAAAGAAACTTAATATACGATTAAATTTGTATGATCTTCTAGAAGAGCCCAAAACCAGTTGTGGGAATAGAACTTAAATAGGTGGGTTTTTGATGTGGAAATGGGAGAATGGAGGGAACCTTCTGGAGTGAAGGAAAACTTGTGTCTCTTGACTGGGGTGTGCTACAGATTGAATGTTTGTGTCCCAGCCAAATTCATCAGCTGAGATCCTAAGCCTGTAGAGGGTGGTATTAGGAGGTGAGGCCTTTGGGGAGTGATTAGGTCAGGAGGACAGAGCTTCATGAATGGATCAGTGGCTTTAGAAAAGAGGCCCCAGAGGGATCCCTCACTCCTCCTGCCATGTGCGGTTACAGGAAGAAGGTGCCCTCTGTGAACCAGGAAGCGGTTTTCGCCCGACACTGAATCTGAGGGGCCTGGAACTGAGACTTCCAGCCTGCAGAAGTGTGAAAAATAAAGGTCTCTCGTTTAGAAGTCACCCCATCCAGGCTATTTTTGTATACTAGCCCAAACAAACGAAGATAGGGTCGTGGTTACAAATCAAAACCCATCAAGCTGCACTCTTGATATTTACGTATCGTGTTGCAATGCTTAAGTATACCTTGGACAGTTAATACGGTATACAAGTTCTGACTTCCGCTTCTTTTCGACTCAGTCTGATCATTAACTTCCCTCACACATCTACACCTTTTCAAAAGGCATTTCAACATTCAACCGAATGTGAACGCACTCAACTCCATAGAGGGAAGTTGCCAAGAATAACCTGTGGCACCTGATTTCTTCTCTTATGGATCATATATTTTAGCTGGGAAGAGTATCACACACAGTAACATGTAGAAAAGAAGTACGATACACAGTGGAATGCTATGCAGCAGAAATTAACAAGATTAAATGTGTGTTCGACAACACTGGAGGACTTTTTTTCAACATCAGTGCAGGGTGGAATATTTGCACACTGATAAGGATGCCTTCACCTCAGTGAAATGAAGTGGCCATGATGAAAAAACCTAACTTTAAGAAAAGAAGTAATTTATACAAGGTATAAAGATGAATGGAACTCATTGTAGTGGGAGGGGTTAAAAATTTTATTAATTCAAACATTAGATGTGTATTAAGGATTTTTGGAAAGTGGAACACATAAAGGTTTGGCCATTTGGGAAAGAGTAATCGTCAATTAACCATTTATATTTTGTATGACTAGAAAATATTAGTTGTGACGGTATCTGTGCGGAGTGGGATGGTACAAGGATGGTAATATTTGAAAGATGCTTTAGCGGCTTTTAGCATTCAGGTCCTAGAAGATGTATAGCCAGGAAAGCCACTATGTAAAATGTTGCCTAAATTCATAGCGGATCTGAAGGGTCTGAAAAGGATTGTTCCCTCTAGACACAGAGAGAATACAGAAATGAATTAGTTGTTTGCTACCTGTTTCCTATATATTTTCTTTCTTTCTTTTTTTAAAAAAGTTTATTTATTTATTTTTCGAGAGGGGCAAGGGAGGGAGAAAGAGAAAAGCAATGACGTGCGAGAGGAACCTCGGTCGGCTGCGCCCTGACGAGGGACCGAACCTTCAACCCAGGCACGTACCCTTGCCCTGACTGGCAATCGAACCAAAGACCTTTCACTTTTCAGGATGCCGACCGAACAAATGAGCCACGCTGTTCAGGGCAGAAATCAGTTACTTTCGAGTAATCATGTCTGTATGTTCACCCTGTCAAAATTCTTCTTGAATTGGAAAAAAAAAACAAACACAAAAACCCCAAAGTCAGGAAAAAAAAATTCTTTGTGAATTCTTTTGTGTGTCTCACCTGTCAAAACTTGCGCCAACTTACATTATCTTCTGCTTCAGGGAGGGTAATGGGGTTATTCTGAGTGGAGGAAGGAGGCTGCTAAGTGTATGGGTGTTCAATATGCATGTAGACTGTGGAGACACCTGGAGGCCGATTCATCAATTGTTCTCTCATTGAAAAACTTTGTGAGATTTTAAACTAATCATAACTGTAAAATCAGTATGATTCCTAAGAATATCATGAGCCAGCCCTGACTGGTGTGGTTCAGTAGGTTAAGCGTCGTTCCCCAAAGCCAAAGGTCATTGGTTTGATTCCCAGTCGGGGCACGTGCCTGGGTTGCAAGCTCGGTCCGCGGTCGCGGCACGGACGAGGGGCAACCAATCAATGTTTCTCTCCCTTTCTTTCGCCCTCCCTTCCCCTCTCTCTAAGAGTAAATAAAGAAAATCTTTTAACAAAGAATATCACGGGACAGAATATAAATTCGTATTTTATAATAAATTAATAATTAATTAATTAATATCAATAAGCAATGGTATATGTATAGGAGAATTAGGTTCTACTGCTATTGCAGTACGAAAGACAGCACACGATACACGGTGCCAAGCAAAACAGGATATGTATAACGGGGTTGGGCTATCTATGTGAATGACAGACGTTTTAATAGAATTTGCAATAGCTGTAATTCATACCATTCTCTATGGCAAAAAAAAAAAAAGAAAGGCAACATGACCATATTTTGCTAAATGGTAGTCTTA